TTGTATTATATTATAACAGAAAACAGTTATTTGAAATAGCAATCGTATTTCACAATATTTGTTTTAACTGTATTTTTTAACAAATAAAAGCGGAATTGTTGAGCATAATAGTCTTCTTTTCAAAACATTTAAAAAATATATATTACTGACCCCAAACTTTTGAACAATACTGTATATCTGTTAAAAGTGCATTTTATCAATATTTAGCGGTAAAAATCACACAAAGATGCCCTAAAATCTAACACACATCGACTAATAACCACAAAACTTTTATTTTGATTAACTGTAATTACATTTAAAGGAATAATTCACCCCATTAATTACTCACCCTCATGTCGTTCCAAACCTGTAAGAACTTCGTTCATCTTCGGAACACAAATTAAGATATTTTTGATAAAATCAGAGCGATTTCTGACCCTGCATAGACAGCAACGCAGCTGACACATGTGTAGGATATCAGACCGAATCAGACAATCTAAGATTTGGTTGTAGTAAGAACATCATTAAAATAGTCCATGTGACATCAGTGGTTCAACTGTAATTTTATGAAGCTACAAGAATACTTTTCTCTCGGATTTCATCAAATATATCTTAATTTGTGTTTGGAAGATGAACAAAGGTCTTATGGGTTTGGAACGACATGAGGGTGAGTAATTAATTAATGACAGAATTGTGGGTGAACTATCCCTTTAAGTCCAGATTGATACCAGTGGGCCACTGAATTTATCAATGCTTCATGTTTACCAGTCCAGCTTTTAGTGCAAGCAGTATGAGCAGGGAAGCTGATCAGGAACACTGGGACACGACGCCGCAGGCTATGCACAGCTGATGTGCAATTCGTATGGGAGTTCACAATGTCGGAAACCCAATTCTATTTGACATTACCGAGAGATGCTTTTGACAACAGCTTCTGTGATGAAAACACCCAGAGATGAAAACAACCTCCGAATGCCTGAGTCTGTTCACACCTCTTGTTTTGTCCCATGCTAAGCCAGAGCAGGAAGTGAGCTCTGTAATCTCACCCCTCAACGTGTCGCTCGCCAAGATAACACCAGACACCAAACTGCTGTTTGTCACAAGTCACATCCGTTTACGTCTCCCAGTCCCTGCAGTCAACAAAAGATTGCTGAACGGATTGTCTTTTTCCAATTTCAACAAGAGAATATCACAGATCTTTGTGAATGCTAACGCTACATGCTACATAAACAGCACCAAGAGAGCTTAACTTCACACCTTTTATCAGCAAACTCAAAAAACATATATACATCTTTGAGCTTCTCAGGGGTTCCTGTACACATTTGAGATGTTTAAAATAAATACACTGTAAAACTAGCCACAAACAATAGCTGCATTTTGACAATGGTAATGGCTGCTGGAAGTTCAGCTTTGGCATCGCAGGAATTGACATGTTAAAATACTTTAAAACAGAAAACAGTTATTGGAAAATGTAATAATTTCACAATATTCACATCTCCCAATTGTTGCAGTCAACAAAATGCTGAACAGATTGTCTTTTTCCAATTTCAACAAAAAAAAAATATCACAGATCTCTGTGAATGCTAATGCTACATGCTACATAAACAGCACCGAGAGAGCTAAACTCCACACCTTTTTATCAGCAAACTCAAAAAAGTGTACATCTGCATGCTTCTTAGAGGTTCCTGTACACATTTGAGAAGTTTAAAATAAATATTGTAAAATAGCCACAAACAATAGCTGCATTGTGACACTGAGGTAATGGCTGCTAGAAATTTAGATGTGCCATCTCAGGAATAAATTACATGTTAAAATACATTAAAACAGAAAACAGTTATTAGAAATTGTAATAATTTTACAATATTCACATCTCCCAGTTGTTGCAGTCAACAAAAGATTGCTGAACGGTTTGTCTTTTTCCAATTTCAACAAGAGAATCACACAAATCTCTGAATGCTAAGACTACATGCTACGTAAACAGTGCAGAGAGATGAAACTTCACATCTTTTATCAGTAAACTCAAAAAAGTGTACATCTGCATACTTCTCAATGGTTCCAGTACACATTCGAGAGGTTTAAAATTAATATTGGAAAACTAGCCACAAACAGTAGCTGCTTTGTGTGTTTCTGAAGTAAATAATAGCCTGTATATAATGCTAATTTGATTTTAAAAAATTAGTATTCTACATAAGTCATAACTGATTATTATCTAATTTTACGTCTAGTAAGCCACAAATATGAGTCTGAAGTAATCACAATCGCATTATATCACTGTAAAACGGTTAGTACTGTAAAACGGTTTGTGCTAATAGCATTTCACAATGAACTCTGCTTTCACAGCTTCATAAACACTTTTTCCTCAGTGTTAAAATACGATTTATAATGGACACAGGGTTTCACAAAATATCAGACCCCTTGACCTACATTATGGATATTTCCCTTAGAAATTTCTAAAGTCTGTGATGAATTTGATGGAAGCAAATGTGACCTTTTCACACATTGTCATTTCCATTTCAGAGGGCTTGCAACACCGCTGTATTTATATCTATGCAATACTGCATTACCATATAAATGAAAATGACGAAAGTACCCATATAAGACGTCCAATCTTAAAAGTGAGCTCTGCCACTTTCTAAGCGTGCGGTGGACTTTACGGAGGTGCATTTGTGAATTTGTTTGCTAAACTTGCAGCTTTTGAACACACTAACAGTAAGAAATTGAATAAAACTACAAGGTTATTAATCTAAATACACAATGCATACATTAATGTTGCTTTCCGACTGCACCTACATCACTTTCAATGTCAACAGCGTGTTATTGAGGATGTGAGATCAGCGCTAAAGGCATCGAACGCTCTCCCACGTACCTCAGACCTGTCACCAAGCAACAAGCTGCCCTGAAACTGTTAATAAAGGCCCCCCACACAGGAAGTAATACCCTAAAGCTGAATTTGTGCTTTGTTGAAGTGAAATCTAAATTTGTCACGGTAATTTGTGAGGGCTCATGGGGAAACAAACACTGAATGGGTTCAATAAAAGTGCGGGATTGCATTGGTGCACATGTTGTTGTGACATTTAAAGGGATAGTTCACCCCAAAATGAAAATTTACTCACACTCATGTCATTCCAAACCTGTAGGACAAACCTGTATTTCGTCTGTGGAACAAAAAGGAAGATAGTTTGAAGAATGTGTCAACTGTTTTTGTCTATTCAGTGAAAGTGAACAAATTGGGCCCTACTGTTTTTTTTTTTCACAAAAGAAAGTCACAAGGGTGAGTGTATATAATGTGATTACAATTATTTAGATTTGCGTCTCAACCCTACTTCCTATGCTCTAGTCTATAAAATAACACAAAAAGTTAATAAAAACCATTCTGGGTATTGCACATTTATATTGGTTGCGCATATTATAAATCAATAATGTGTTGACCAGGCCACCAAAAACAGAACCAGAATTGTGGAGAAAAAACAAACAAAAAAACTCTGGATCAGAACCAGGATATCTGAATCTTTATCTGATATCTAAATCTAATACCGAATCAAAATGTTCTTTTTTCCCTTTTTAAATTTATTTTATTATTGTGATTAAAAAGTGGAAGTTTGCTTTAATAAAAAAAATACAGTTCATTATGAAAAAAGTTGATTAGGTGGATGTAGAACCACATGATGAAATGATGACAGAATTTTTTTTTTTTTTTTTTTTTTTTTTTGTGAACTATCATTTTAAGAGCTTGAAGCTGTGATTACAACTACACAGGTCGAGTCTCTGCCTCATTTCATGTTTTTATCATCCACGCTTGTTATGAGGTCACTGGAGGAATAAATCCTGGTTCGGATGAAAAGAGCGAGAGCGAGTCTCCTTTAACTGGCCGCCCACTGATCTACACCTCCATTCTCTGAGCATCCTCTCTAATACAGTTAGCATGCCTGATCAATAGCGCCGCATACAGAAGCCCCTGTACACATGACTGGAGATAAGGAAGAGGCCACGCAACGGAGGAGACCCCAGTCTCTCGGCGAGGAAATCAGGTCACCCTCAGTTGTGAGGAAGCCGCGAGGAGAATCGATCATTCCTTGACTGTGAATAGAGTGTTGATAAGCCTAGGAGGAGAGCTCTTAAATAGGGACGGCCACAGGGTTGACCTCTGTATTGGTTTTACACATGTAAATACTATCTAGCTGGGAACAGCAGGGGAGATATGGTGATATCCGGTAGATTAAAACACGCTGACATTTGTCTTTTTCATTTCAGCACTCAATTCCAAGGGCAAAAAGGTGACTGCCTTAATGTTGGACAAGATGGTGACTGAACTTTCAGACGGGAAGAAATAGCCTGCTTACAGATGCCCAAGGCAATCATGAATATTCTAGTGCCAAACACAGGGACCTGCTACACTGATATTACAACGAGAGGTCATATATAACCTGCAGGCAATGACGGAAAGATTTTTAGTTTAAAACAATATGGTGTGACCTGTCACTGAGAAAAAGGAAATCAATCAATCAATCAATCTATCTATCTATCTATCTATCTATCATTATGTTAATATATAATGTTTACAGTCAACCATTAAAAATCAATATTGTGTGTATTATATATATATATATATATATATATAAACAATAAAAGTAAATACAATTATGTGAATATATGTTTACAGTCAGCCATTAAATATCATAAAAATAATAAATTATATACCTTATAATATAAAAATTAATAGAATAAATGAAGAAAAGAGTATCTGCCATGTTATTGTGATCTTGTGGAACTATGGAACTATATATATTCCTGAAAAGCACCACCTTCATACAAACACGCAAAGGTCCTCAAACAAATGTTCCTCGTCAAACAACACTTACTAAGATTGCATAACACAGAATGAGCAAAGGTGCCTGTATTACAGCACGCATTCTTGCATTTAAAAACTGCGCGACAAAACGGAACACAAAGTTCTTTTTCTAAATTCAACATTTTGAAAGTAATAAATGAAGTGATTTGCACACTGTGCATGTATGTGTACATACTTGCCATTAATGACCCCGTCAGGGTTGAGCATGGGGATGATTTTGAAGATGTAGGCCTCTCTCAAGCTCTCGGCTACAGGACCACTGCTGCACAGGAACTCCAGCGTGCCCTTCAGTGCCCAGCTGGCATTGCTCTCTCCTGGATGAACCCTTGCTGTCAGCACCACACATGGCCGGTTACCTAAAAGAAACATGAATATGAAAAATAAGGTTTTAATGTATAACATATTGATTAATCATTCACTTATGTAGCTAATACCTGTAAAAGATAAATTGTGGCATGAGTAGCTTCTATTGTGGATTGCTCATGTTTTAAACTGGAGAAAGCTACCAAATCAGTGTGATGCTTTGCGGTCACAACATTACATGGCAATTACGCCGCGTCAGATTTTCAGTCGACGTCTCCCTTGACTCGTATTATCTGGACGGGGAAATTACATCACCTTGCTGAGCAAGTTTACAAAGCCAAAAGAGTCGGACAAAGCTTATCAAAAACACATTAAAATTTAATTTAGCTTGACTATTATGGCCCTGGCTGCCACCCCACAAAAGACGGCAGAAGGGGCGACTAATTTGTGTGATTCTGGTATTGATGATTTCATAATGAGTTTCTGCATGGCCTCTGTTTATGCGCTCTTTCACCGGCTCCATTTCATTTTCTGTATTTAATTGAATATGAATACGTCCATGCAATTAGGCTGGAGTGATGATTTTTTTTTTTCTTTTTTGAGAAAATGAGATAATGCCATTATTGCTGCCTTTTGCCATAACAATGAATGGCATGTTTGTCATGAATAGCATGTGACCTACAATTTTGCATTCAGCTTAAGGGTCAATGAAAAATAAGGATGGTCAAGATGATGAAGAGAAACATCTTTTTTATTTCAAAGTAAAAAAATGTTTTCAGTTTAACACCTTATATAAAAAAAAACAGTTCGTAACCATTTGTAAGTTTTTGATGGCTGTAAAAATGTATACAATTTCCTTTTCAAAAATATTTTTCAAGTTGTTTGCTTGCTTGTCATTTTTTATGAATATCAAAGTTCATACAAAGTCATATAATATTAACAGGCAAGAGAAGGTTATTACACTTTGGCATTTTTTTTTTTTTTATTTTTTTTTTACTTTAAGCCCCACATTTTTTTTTAAAGTATTCAAATCAGCTTTATTTTTTAATTTTTTTTAATGTGCAACTTAAATTGCAACTTTGCCACAATATATTATAGATTATGGATATACATAAATGCAAACTAATAAACACAAGTTTATCATGTTCCCAGATTCATACAAACATTCCATAAAAATGGATGCTTAATTAAAAAAGGATTATTATTATATAGTTTATATTATATAATATTGTTCTTAATTGGGCCTGTCAGTCGATAATTTTTTTTAAATCTAGTTAATTATATGATGTGGCATTAATTTAGATTAATTAATCCAATTTGGGCCAGTTTTATTAAACAGGGCAAATTAGCGCGCGAGAGCGCAATTCCAAAACATTGCCGATGGTGGAAATTTCTGCGGGTAGTTTACTAACAACGCACAAATTAAAGAACACAGACGCAACATCTCATTTACATATCGAACAACGCAATCTGCCAAGCGCAGTGCAAATTAGCATAGTCGCAAATAAAGAATAAAAAAATAAAGAAGCCACAGTACGTTGAAAAGAACCGGAGGCCAAAAAATCAAGGGTTGCAAGAAATTTTGATAGACCTGGGCTGCGTTCAGCCCCCAAAAAACGTTGCGAAACGTTTTTTTAAACAGAAACGGTGGTGCATTGAACACCCTGTTCTGAGGACGCAAGAATTGCAACTATGGCAGCTGAGAAGGCCATTCTTTGTGTTCTTTTTGAAGAATTTTCGGAGCCTGATGAAATCGGTATAAATACGTGTTTAATACTGCAAAATACGCTCGATGTTACAGTCACTGCCCTTGCCTTCCAGAATATAAGAGAACATCCCAATCGAGTGAAGGGATTTGTGGAAACTGTGGTTCCTATTTATTGTGATCCAACATTTGCCTCGCATTTCAGGATAAAAAGACAAACATTTCAGGTGAAGGATAATCCACTTCTTACCTCCGAGACTGTGTTATGATCTATATGACCTTATTATTTTTATTGTGAGTATTAGGCTTATCGTTATTGCTGATCACTGTTGTTGTGCTATGATATTGTAATATTTACCATTATATAATCAGAGGAGTATAGAAAAGTTTATGAAAGTGTCACTACACAATACAATAGCAAAATATGTAAATATGTATAGTATTTTTATGTTGCATCAGTGTCTAGCACACCTTCCTAAGGAAAGGATATGGACCAGAAGACATTGCAATTACTAAATTATATTTAGACAGACTTAAAAAAGTTCCAGATCTATACTTGTGCTCTTATTATTTCAGTTATTTTGCCTTTAATGTAAATAAACATGTGCAAACAATATACTTGCTCTTGTGAATTTATTTGGATGTTAATTACATTGTGAGAGCTGTCTCTTTAATACCGCGTGGTTTACAGCCACGTTGCTGCTGATTGGGCTGACATGTTTGACACACCCACCAAACAAGAGAAAACGCATCTCAAACCCCGTTGCACACCGTTTCCAAGAAACATGTCGTTCAAACCGGAAACCGTAGCAAAACGGTGCACACCGGTTTGAGCTTGAACTTACCCCTGGCTAAGTGTACCATTTTGGTTGGTGTGATTGTGGCCCAATATCGGTGGTGTTGGCTCAGTTTCAGTACCCAGTCTCGGGCCAGTACTGGCTAAGTGTACCATTTTGGTTGGTGTGATTGTGGCCCAATGCAGGTGGTGCTGACTCAGTT